AGCACCGGTATTCGTTCTCCGGTGTATGTAGTCTTTTCTTTGGGCGCAAAATCGTTGTCTTGAGGCCCTGCCTCGATGTTACTACACTCTGTTACTCTTGGAACAGCTGACAATCCCAGAGGAGCCTCGTTTTCAAACGACATTGTCAAAGACTCAACACAGATAGCGTCTGCATATGTTGGAGGATTTGGTTTAAAACCCGTCTCTGTCGTCTGCTCATTTTCCATAAACATAACGGTAGAGGTAGAATCGACAAATTGTACCTCTTCGGATGATACACTGTTAAAAGATTTGTAGGTTGTGGGAATATTTTCATTAGCATGAGTATTTATATTCTCATCATAATACAGTTGTGCTTGTGGTATATTTTGAGATAGATAGATAGATAGATACTTTTATTTCCTCCAAAGATGAAGAGCATAACAGTATTTACAGATACAATATTTACAGTAACAATACATGTATAATACCATTTAAATATTATGCGATAACATTACAAAAATATATCATAACAAAAACAAAAATCATATATATTGTGGGATCTATATCAAATCTCTTATTCTATGGCAAAAGTAATTCACACCTGTGTTTAATTCATTGATCTATTATCTAACATAAAAAACATGGCAACTACAAGTGTATCCTTAAAATGATTGTAAGCATTTCTCCTTTATATAGCTTCAACGAAATCGAAACTAAAGCTTTTTAAAGTGGGAAACACCTTTTATTGATTTCTTAAAAATAATGAAGGGGAATTGGCAAAAAGTGCTAAATAAAAGTCATATCTTCTTCTTAACAGAAGATATAGTTAATATAAAGCTGTAGTTAATTATTTTAGTATTTTCTTCATTTATACAAAAATGATGAAAGATTATGAAAGGAAAACCCGATTTTATACAGTTTTGAATAGTGTAAAACTTTAATAAATAATTCATGAGATATTCTACTTATTCATAGAAGTATTTATATTTTAGTTTCCTAGCACTCGAGGATTAAATATATCATGGTTTATTTCTTACATAATTACAGATAAGACATACGTATCAGAAAACATTTCTCATTGGTACAAATACAAATTACAATATACACAACATATAACGTTCGAAAATGTATCACAATTCATGTCAATACATCATTTAATCTAATAAACGTAATAATGATTTAGTTAATGAGAAATTTATGAAAATGCGTTCGTCATTTTTCACGGCGAGCCCCATTATAGTTTTACATTGTTCAAGAGGACAATCTGTTATTAACTCACGGAACCAAGTAAATCCCAGACAGTCTATAAGCATGTTCCACAAATTCTCACGTTCTCGGGTATTTCTGATACAGAAACAGATCTGGTGTAGGATAATATTTTCTGTATTAAGTTTACATTTTGTGCACTGACGCTCATATTGTCGTGAAACCAATAAAGCGATGTTTCTTGAGAGTTTTCTGCAGATATGTGATAGGGAAGGAGTGTTCCTGCTTACGAACCATAGGCTCGAACACTGGCTAACACGAATAAGGTTATTACAAACCCACAAATGTCCAGCTGAAACAATACAATCTATTTGATATTGGTATTCCGACTTAAGCACTGCTTTGACGAGAATATCTTTCCACTGCCATTTACTCGGAAATAAACTCGATTGTAAGTAATTGTACATTACATCAGTCAGAGAATATTTGCAGAGGATCCTATATATATCAGGAATAAAACCAAAACGTTCCGGAAATCCATTATGATATCTGGTTAAACGATAATTGAATATTTCCTTCGCTTAAAATATGCCGGACAATCTACACAATTGCCCAAAGAACTGCAGTTTCCTATATTCTATCAGGGTCTCAACACTCGTAATATTAAGACAAATACGAGTATAGTTTGAAGATGCGTTTCTTGGAAGCTGTTGCATATGTTTTAAACAAACGTTTTGAGCAGTCTCGAGTAACCGTATATCGTCTTTAGAATAGGAGCTCCATATTTCACAACCATAAAGTGCTCTGGATAGCACCACAGATTTGTATATTTTACTTAAAGTAACAGGGCTGATAGAACCCACATCAAGACTTCCGGCTATGCTGAAGTACGTTTTCTTCAGCTTTGAACATGCGTTTTCAATGTTAGGTTTAGTAGATAGAATCTTTTCACTGATAACACCTAAATGACAGTAGCTTTCGGTTTCAGAAATTATGTAAGGCCCCATACTAAATCGTCTGCAATGTATTAATTTGTGTTGTTCATTCATCACGACAACTTTACATTTTTCTGCATTATAATAGTATCTCCATTTTTTTGAATAGTCCCAACATGTACTTAACATTTTGTCTAAACCAGTTTTTGATAACGAAACAAGTACCATATCGTCTGCTACAGTTGGAGAACACACATTGAAATTGAAGATGCACATTCCTTCGCCTCTATCCTCAAGTTCTTCAATTAATTCATTGATATAGACTAGATACATCAATGGCGAACTCTTACCGCCTTGCCTTGTTTGTTGGACAATAAAGCTATCAGATATCAATCCTTGACAACGAACTTGACATTCTGAATTGACATATACAACGAATATAGAGATGCAAATGTAGTATAGTCAACACCATACTTAAGAAGTTTGTAAAACAGTCCGTTATGCCAAACATGGTCAAAAGCTTGTTTTCCATCCAAGTAGTACACATATACCTTCGAGGAATTTTCTTTAGCAAAGTGGATGCATTCTCGAAACATAAAAGAAGTCATTAAACATCCAAGACCCCGCTGAAAACCACATTGCTGTCTCGCTAACTTGGTTTGTAAGTCTTCGGCACATCTATTCAAGAGCATTAGTTTTTAAAGTTTAAGAATACAGGATGATAACGTAATTGCTCTGTAACAGTTAGAGTCGTCTTTCTTTTTGTTCCCTCCTTTATGTAACGTAATGATTATACCTCTCTTCATATCTTTTGGTATAAAAGCGTGACGTAACATGTTCGTAAATAAAATAGCTAAAATCGGGGAAATTATCTCTTTGCTTAATCGTAAATGCTCGTACACGATACCATCTGGGCCACCCGATTTGCCATTCGGAAGAGTTTTGATAGCATCCTCTACACAAGCAGACGTAATATGCGCACTTTGATCAGTTCTACATGACGTCATCACTTCATCAACTGTCATCTCTACAAAGTCTTTCCAATTATCATCAAAGTATTCGGATTCAGAACATTTATAAAGGTTTTCAAAGTATAATTTCCATTGTTCAACTAGATTTTCGCGACTTCTATATATTTCGCCGTTAAATTTTATACCTGCACCGGATGTTTTCCCTGCGGATTTACGAGAATTAACTTCTTTCCAAAATTCCATAGAATCAGTCTCTGCGTCACTTTCCAATTTTAAATCCAGTGCTGCAAGATAGTTTTGTACATGCATTCTGTGAGTTTTTCTATATTCGGTTTTCACTTTCTTATATTCTTGCTCTTCAAGTGAAGTACGACCACGTGGTCTTCCTGCTCTGCACCACGTTGCACGTGCAGTCAACAGAATATCGCATTTGATATTGTTCATCGTCTCTTTCACAAAGTTCATCTGTCCTGCCCGTAATTGGTCGCTGGCATGCAGGCTTTGACTCAGGAGAAGAACTTGAGCCTGTAATGACGATACAGTGTCTTTGAGCAAAGCAAGTTCTGTCGAACACTGACATTTATTTTGAACAGAAGTTTTATCAGTAATTGTTAAATTACTCCTATCTGGTGTTGTGGGGTAATCATCAAGGGCAGCAACTGCTACCGAACGCCGTCTCGATGTACTTATCATTTCCTTGAGTAAACTGTAGTCTTCGCCCTGAGTAACTGAAATTATCGTAAATATATCTTGGGCTAGTTTGATTGATATCGGGTCACCATTTCCCCTAAACACTCTTCGTTTTAGTTCTGCGCTAAGTCCAAAAGGAAAATCATCATGCTCCTGTTTAAGTACTTCAAAATATTGTACACGGACACGTTCCAAGTCAGATTCTGATGATGCATACATCCTAAGCAAATGCTGAACAAATAAGTCTTTTGGCATATCATGATAAAGCTTTACCAAATTATTATACTCTTCAAGATCTTCATTGTGTGGGATATTGAAAGTATACGATTTGTCATACTAACAGATTTTAATAGACGTCATTTCAAATTATGTCACCCAGATAACAGTAATTTTGGGATGACTTAAATCCGTCAAACTTCGGATAAGAAGGTTATTATGAATAATAGCCGAGATGTTCGGATTGTATCGTTGATGCATAGATCCCTGACCAATCTTATTCTAATTATCAGATAAGTGAATACAATAAGATTTTCACCACACCATAATTATTTCTTATCAAAGGTGCACATGTCAATGTTTGTGGTTAAATCTATTGTTATTCAAATTAAAGGTCAGAGTAGGAATCTATCAATTATTTCGGTACTTCATCTTTCAAATAAAAAACTCATAACTACATGCAATAGATTTATTTGTCATGTCATAGTAATAAAAAAAAAAGAAATAAAAATATACAACAACAAAAAACCAACCGCCCTCCAAAATAAATAAATAAATAAATAAATAAATAAATACATAAATAAATAAATAAATAAATAAATAAATAAATAAATAAATAAATAAATAAATGAATGAATGAATGAATGAATAAATGAATGAATGAATGAATGAATAAATAAATAAAAAAATAAAAAAATAAACTCACAAAAACCAATGATACAGAAATTTATAAACTCAACATTTGTTTATAATTGTACATTATTGAAAGTAAGCCTGAAATAAAATAAAAAGAGAAATAACTTTACAAGAAGGCTATAGTCATTGTATGTAAAAGAAATCAATTCTATAATGCAACAACACGGATAAAAAGTTGCGTGCTAGTGCTAGTTTTATGCACAATTTAACTGTTTTTTTATGTATTATTTATTCTTGTGACATTAAGCAATGTCTCCGTCGAGGGGGTATAAAGGTAGGGTGGAAAGATAGAGTGATTCATCCTCATCTGGTATGAAAAACTATCCTTGATTCAGACACATTTGGCGAGGACTGCGCTGCTTTCATCAAGCACTGTAAATATAAGAAGTGATGGCAAAGTATAACTTCCATGCAATGTCGCTGTTTAGTGCATATAAGGTACTGATGTGTAGAGCTATGTTCAATACTGATTTTTTGAACGATTTTAATCATATTATTTTATTCAACAACTTCAATGAATTAAGTCAGGAAGCCATATGGATATTCCAAGGACCACGTCCAAATAAGAACTGTTTTCGATAAAACGAATGATTATAATTATAACGATATGCTTGTATAACGCACGTCAAAATACGCCCGAAGAAATTTCGGCGTAATATATGTTATGCACCCGGTCGTTCGTCCGTCCGTCAGAATCTTTTGAACTGGTGGAAGGAAATTGAAACAACTTGGGCAGAAATGTTAATAAGACGCTGTGCAAAGCACTGGCTTGACCTTCCGTAGGTCAGGATCAAGGTCATTATGTATGAATTTCAAAAATTCGTGTTCGCTTTGTATCTTTTGAACCGATAGAAATTATAAATTTTTTTTTAGCAGAACTATTGCTCATAATGAGTCGATGTGCAGAATACAGGTTTGGGCTTCCTGAGCTCAAATTGGCCCCGCTCCGGGGCGTTACTTGAGTTATATAGGAAAACTACGGTATTCCGTTTGGACAATCGTGATTTTTCTTTCGTCCTTATCCGCGATGCACGATGGTACGATGGTGAAAACGCGATGGTACGATGGTGAAAACGCGATGGTACGATGGTGAAAGGCGATGGCACGATGTTTTTACCATCGTATTATCGCGCCATCGCGATTTCATCATTGTACCATCGCGTTTTCATCATCGTACCATCGTGTACCATCGTGTTTTCACCATCGTACCATCGTGTATCGCGGGTACAGACTAAGTAAAAAATCACGATTGTCCAAACGGAACACCGTAGTAAACACATTGAGTTTTATTGTGTGAAACTAAAATGTCTAGAGCTTTGATATTTAGCATGTAGCCTTATTAACTTCTACAAATGTAATATGACTAATGCCTCTTGTTTAAATTATGGCTCCGCCCAGGGGTCACTTGATTTATTTAGACTTATATGGCAAAACACATCTGAGACTAATTGTGTGAAAGTACAATGCCTGGAACTTAGATATTTGGCATAATGTTTTGCCTAGTGGACCTCTATACACGATTTATGAATCATGCACCTAGTGTAAAACATGCCTCCACTTTAGATGTGATATAATATCATAAGGATAATTAAGATAAAACATTTTACAGACAAGTTTCTTGATAAGGTGTTTACCCTTATTGAAAGATTATTTTTGATAACTCATATAAATTTACATTCGGACGTCTATTGCCCCGCCATTGCGTGCTCTTGTTGTGGAGTCGCAAAAGCGGTTAGGGTATGTAATTAAGGTCGATATATTTTGCTGATACACAATTGCATGTCCTTTAGACAGTGTTTGACTAGGATTTGAGTTAAAATATGTAAGCTTCAGATTTACAAGAAATGTGAATCTAAATTTGTCACTCGTCACGCATTTTAACGTCTCAACAAAATGAGAATTTTTCAAACGATTGCACAAAGTGAAGTACAAGTTGTTCCGGAGGTTATCATAGTTAACACAAATGTCCCAAAAGGACTATGTCACACTCCGATATCATATAAAGTTAATTGTAAGTATTAATATAAAAGGTGGTCTTGGCACGCATCAACATACAAGAAGTGGATAGCCCAGTTGCACTCACGCTCACATGTCAGTTTAATGGTGACGCCAGTAAGCTAGTGAGCGGTGTCGCCTTATACGGAATGCTTCGTTTATTGGCCAATGGTAGGAGCTGTTATTATAAGCAGTTATTTAATGTCATGTTGTTACTCATTGTGATTCAAAATACTCGAAACAATGAAGGAACAACTTATTGTTCAAAGTGACATTATACTCATATTTTATTGTCAAGTTTAGTTAAATTGACGATATTTTTCAAACGACTGACTGTTATAATGGTAAGTGACAAACAGTCCATAATGGAAAATGTTATGGATGAAATATAAATCTGCCTTAAATATAAAAAGACTGTTCAACTCTTTTTTTATAAATTGTACTATGATGGATATTTGAAGAAAATTCCTCGGGCCATTAGAGTTATTTATCGTGTTCATGCGAAGTAAATTATGAAATTGAAAGAAATTTGGCAAAGTGTTCACTTATTTTGACTTTTACCTGTTCAGTCACTATATAACCTTGAATGGGCATGGTGTCACTTTAAATGTACGTTCACTGCTTTATTTGAAATGAATTTCTCTTCTGTGATAAATTTCTACAAACCTGTGTTTTCATCATGATATAGATAGAGGGACCCACTTTGTACACAACCGCCGCAATATCCCCCGCAAGTTGCCGACATCTTCGTGTTGTCATTGTTTTTAGTAAGAGGTCCTACATATGGCTGCCATCCGAATCCACTCACGGACAACTTGTTATATACAAAATGATAAACATGAATTGATGAAAATTTAGGAAAAACAAGATGTATCTTTAGAAAAAAGATACTCGGACGAGGTAAAACTGCTTTTACTTGTATATATTATTTCAAGTTTTGTCATAGATTGATTAGATCTAGCAAACACTGCAATATATGTATCTACATGAAACTGCCATATTTGAGTTAGTGTACCTTACATTAGGATCTTTCTATTTGAAAGACCCTGGTTACATTGACGTATTCATGTACACATTTATATATATGTTTTGTTTATATGTAAAAATATATAGAAATTAAAAAGCATGAAAAGTATGAATTACACACATCAATTATCATGGTATACCATAAACGCTGAACATAATCTTCTTCGAAAACCAGGAAAGTTCTTAGACGGACAACGAACCAAGCATTACAACAGGAGTCATCTTTAATAACGTAATTTCAAAATTAAGAAAATAAGGTCCAAATTTGCCGAAATAATAGCAATAATCAATTTTGCTTTGAAACTATTAGAATATTAAGTTATCATAAAAATGTGTAAAAATATATAATACATGCAAAATCTTAATCCTTAAAATTTAAGAAATGTTTTTTTTTATTACAAATTGTATAATGGTTCTTTATAATTAATAGTTTTTTCTTGTGAACGATAGTCTCACAATGTTTAAAAGTCTTTATTGATCTTACCGAAGAGCTGAATTTGAAGCCTGTTCCCTCTGTAGATATACTAAAGGTTCCATGTTTACAGCCCCAGTTACAGTTACACGTCTCTGCCTTGGCATAACTCACGTACGAAGTCCCTGCACCAACGATCTCCGCGAACGTAGTGTCGCCTTTATTAACTGTCATATCCTAGTACATAATTCATGTATATATATATATATTATAAAGTTAAAGAAAACTTAAAATATATATAAGGTCAATTCGCACAAAGAAAACGCAACGGTCGCTGTGGTTAGCATGCTGGATCGGCCACCCAGATACCCGTGGTTCGAGTCCCGTCTGCGGCGTGCCTATTTATGTGCGATTTACACAATTTGTATATATCTTTTATTGAAATATGCAATTTGCATTAAGGCACACATATCACATATAATAAACTCCGGTATTTATATCTTACTTTTTTTAAAGTTATCTCTTAGCCAATCAGAGAAACGCATTTTAAAGCTTTGTATAGATTATATAATAAAGTCTCATATTGACCTATTATTTTTTTATTTCAGCCAATCAGAGGAACGCATTTCAAAGCTTTTATAGATTAAATAATAAAAACACACAAATTTCACCTTCATGTTCACACGTATTTTTGCATATTTCGAAATTGTCTTAAACGCTTCCGTTATGGAATCTGTACCTCCATTTATACTGAAATTTTCATCTGGATTAACTGTAACAGAAAAGTGCTCAGGATATAACTCGTGTATAAATTCATAATATATATATATAATATAAGGGAGACTGACATTTCGTAAAGATGTCAAACTTTAGAAGACATTTCTCAAGTTAAATATTTCTATTTGTATCTCATAATAACTGCCAAATAATTAATCTTTATGCGATATCCTTCCCGGATAAGAAAAAGAATAATTTAAATAGTAACAATATTTTATGTTATTTTACGGTAGAATGTAGATTTTTTAACAACATAACCGTCATCTGTTACCTCTCGTATAAAAAGGTCTATGTTTCTCGCATGTTCCATAAAGATGATATTCATTTTTATTTCTATAAATACGGGACTTATTTTCATCGATTGGTATGAAAACAAATCTGAAAATTCAATTCAGTATCTATAGATAAAAAACTTGAATTTTCTAATCTCTGCTTTGACATTACGATTCGAAAAGTACAAATTTTGTGTATCGTTTAAAAAGTGTACATCGAGACACCAGTGAAAGTACGGAAAATATTTTCAACTGTAGTTAAAAAAAGCAAATACTTAAAATGAGCCCCTAGCACATAGATTGACGGCTTGTTCTTAACACCAACAGCCCTTCTCAGAGCTTACATTGTCTCAGGTAATTGTATATCCAGGTTCTCATTAGCCGCCGTACAGTGACCTACTTTTGGCTCAAAATTCACATCTTTGGCTGATACAGGAGGTAAATTATTGCCACCTTGACCTTCAAAATAAACCCATAACTGAAAACATGTCCGGGGTCCATACTCGACAGCGAAAGGTGCATTTAGTACATGAAAGGGCGGATGGACCCTCATAAAGCGTAGAATTCCGACCGACCAAACCGAGCGGTCAAATCTTCTTCAAAACTCTCCCGATGCGTGCACGCCACGGCACGCGGCCGGTCAAGATCAAATCA